TTATGCAAGGAGATAAGTTAAAGGAGGTTAAGCTCATGATACTCATGACAAATAGTATGAAACACTCAATAAAAAATTCATCACTATACGCCATTGCTCTCAAAGCTAGTATAGGTCTTCTAAGCCAATACATTCCACAGTGAGTGAGAAATCCCATCCATAGTGGGGTAAATGGACCATGAATTTCAAGGGTCCAAAGAAATTGGTTTTGTTTTACGTTCATGTTTGGCTCAATCTCAATAATATACCTATAATCTAATTAATTTATAAATAAATAAGTTTTAACAAATATTCTTTTTATTAACAAGGTTAAGTCACTATTTGGTTTAGATAAAAATAAGATTTTTAGTAGATTTTGATAAAACTTAATGGAATGTGTGATTCAAAAGTTATGAGTTCTACGAATTGCGTGATTGAAAAGTTATAATTACTTATAATTATGTAGCATTTCTTACTTTAAAATAAATAATTGATTTTTAACTCTTATGTATACAAATTGTTTATTATAAAAGTTACTTACATATAAGTAAAACATTATATAAAGTGTGATTAAAAAATAAAAATAAAAAAATTAGATTTACGTGCAAAATATTTTATTGAGAAAATGTGTGATTGAAAATGAGTTTGAGAAATAAGAGTTTAGGAGAAAACAAATTTTCAAATAGATTTGAAGAATGTTTGATTAAAAAATATGAAAAAATTTTGAATTTACATTCAAAATATTTTACTACGAAAATGTGCAGTTTAAAATGAGTTTGAGAAAATAAAGTTTTGTTTTAATGGTTGTCAAACCCCCATTATTTGAGATTTTAATTTTTGGAATAGTATTTTTTTTGGAGAATGAGTAGTAACAAAAAAAGGAAAAGTTTTCGATTTACGTGTAATATTATTTTATTGGAGAATACGTTATTGAAAAGAAGAGAGAAAAATGTATTAAAATTTTAATAGGAGGCCAAAGGGTTTAATTTAGTCATTAGCTATTCACATCACATGAATGTCATGAAAAGAATATTCAATAATTGTAAAGTCTTCAATTAATTTTGGACAATTGAGCATTGGGCTCAGGCTGAGACTCAAGTTGGGGAGGGCTAACATAAAATTTTGTGGCAATTTAAGTATAAAATTCATTTTTTAACAAATACTTAATAATCTCTTACTTATAAATAAAAAATGTTACTTCTTTGGAAAGTAGGTCTTAATGTATTATCAAAATTATTAAATTATTTCTAGCTTTGAGCAATAAATAATTATGTATTTATAAGTAAATTTTAAGCTCAGACAATTATGCTATTAGTTTTTCAGGTAAGTCTTGATTATTGTCTCAATCATATTTCTCCCACGAAGAAAACATGAGTGATCATCAAAGATAATCAAATATCATTAGTCTACTTCTCTTGATTCATGACGGAATGAGATCCATTTTTCTCTATTAACAGCTGAATGCAACTATTGTCTTTCCTGCATCCTTACTGTTTAATACATTTTTATTTTTATTCTATCTGAATAAATTCAAAGGACTCTTAAACTTAACTTTCTAACAAAAACCTAAGATAGCATCTTTTACACTACCATTTATCATGCTACATTTAAATTGAATTTCAAGACCTCACAAATATTATATTTTGGATTGTATTATATTTTGGATTTGAAACTTACATTTTTGAGGTGTTTTTCCCTGTGCTTTCTGTCATCTGGAACATCCTTGCTTGTCATCCTGAAATCATGAAGAATGTAAGCCCCAGAAATGATGTGCTCGCAGACGAATAACAGCAATAACATACCCTTTTAGATCAATCCGTAGGTCATGGCGAGTTGCTTCTAGTCTTCTGCACGAGTTATTTCTCTTTTCCAGCTCATTTTCGAAACATGAAATCTCCTTATTTAATTCAATATTGGCTTCCATCAACTGGGTCTCGGGATCTTCTTTCAACATCTTATGCATTCCAATTGTATCTTTGATTTTTACCTTTGATAGATTCATAATTTCCATCTCTGATTTCGAAGTCCCCAAAATTTCATTGGTCTCCTGCATTTGAACCATGAAAGATTCACTCTTGGTAATTTCAGATTGAGGCCTCACTTCAAAATCTGCAGTTGAAGAGTCCTTATTTTTCAATTCAACATTCAGTCTTCGATCTTGCTGAACTTCCTCCATTTGACAAGATCTGTTATGACCATTCAAAGAAGATTCTGTGGGAATGTATAGCATCTCATTGCTTTCCAAATGCAATTTGTTTGATTGTGCACATTGATTAATCAATTCATTATCCAATTCATTCTCACTTTGTGATTCATCCCAATCAAAATGATTTCTTACTGCTTCCTTCATGCTTGAAACGTCCTGAAGGGAAAAGCAATGGTTCATGATCCATTCCAAAGTAGAAGCTACTTTTTGGGCAAACTGTTCAAGATCAGCTGTTCCATTTAACAAATCCTTACAAGTGCAAGCAAATTGTCGTAAAATGGCAGACAGTTCAGAAATTCTCCATTGAAATACACGTACCATGTAGCCTGTAGTGAATTCCGAGTTCTTATATGACAAAAGTTTATCATCCTTACCCGAGTAAAATTCTGCTACACTATTTTCTAGATATGGCATGTTTATTCCTTCAATGAGCTCAAGCATTTTGCATATCGATACACTCACACTTGACTGAAACTTCTGGCAACTCTTTTTTGTAGTTGAGATATTATAGGAAGCTCTTCTAACAGATGCATCAGTTCTTGATGAGTGGTTTGGTAATTTCTGATAAACATGTCCACTAACTTCAGGAGAAGGTGATACATCAGGCAGGTTTGTAGTTTCCTCGGCATTAAGACTTCTTGGGTTAGAAGTGTTTATATGTGCCAAAGCAGCTTTGATATCCTCTAATACTTCACCAGGGCTTCTTTGTGTTGCAGAACTTTGCTCCAAAAGCAGTTTCAATGTGTCACCAAGCCAACCAGGCTCCTTATTGACTACTCTATCATCAGATTGAAATTCTTGGCTAGAGATCAAACCTGACGGACGACTAATTGCATTACCTTCCTCTAAGGAATGATAGGAACTTCCTGCTGGATAATCAACAGAAACTAGTGCTAATTTTTCCATTTCTGCAAAGTCATCCATGAGTTTCATTTCCGAATTTCCTAATAATTTATCAGATGATGTGCCCAGTTGTTTTTCAGTTTTGAAATGCTCCATCTCTGAAATCAATGCAGAAGCCCAAGACTCAGGGTAGCTGGCCTTGTCATCATTGCCCACATCAGACATCGATGCTTGTGATAATCTGGAAGTGGTACGAGCATACATGGTTCTAGAAAATTCAAGTTTTTTCGGTTTCTTGTCAAAGGTTTCCTTGAGAGTCCTGTTTTCTTCTTCCGTTGCATGCAATTGCTCAGTAAGAAAGTCGATCCTTCTCTGTGTATCAGCAGCCACTTCCACAGAAAAGTCCATTGAACCAACCAGAGAAGGATAAAATTTTCGTCCCCTCATTTCAACTTGATCCCTACCAAGCATTGCAACTTCATCCTTCATTTTTGCCAAAGCAGCTGGGCCTGGC